TAGGTAAGTCTATATGCTATATAGCATTATACTGCCATTACTGGCAAACATGTGGAAGTATCCTCAGGTGGGGAAAAAAAACCAAATGAGTCATCTCCCCCATGCAGAAGAGGCCTAAACTACATAATTATATTACATTTACTACAGTCATAATCAAACGAGATCCTTTACTAGCTGGATGCAAGGGGAAAGGCAGGCGATCAGACGGACATTTTTCATATTTCTGGAAGTTATCACAGCGCTGTCTTTGTTTCTCATAACCCAAAGGATCTGAGATCTGAAGGTAGCATCTGAGTAATGCTAGGAGAAAGGCCAGCTGTAATGGGGCCATGGTAAGCAACGCCTATCTAACACAAGCTTATGAAGCATGCATTTAGACCTTTTGTCAGCCACACCACAGTCCGTGCTCCCTTCCAAAAGGACCGAATGCTCCAGAGAAAGCAAATCGCCAAAGCTGAACTTCAAGAGCCCTGTCATGTACAATGTTGCACTTGATCTCAGATTTTCTTCTTGGCTCTCCAGTTGCACAGTTATAAAGCACGGGTGAAGCTTAGCCAGGAGAAGAGAAACAAGTCTAAAGATTAGGAGCAGAGATCAGACTGCACCTGCAGAAGGAAAGAAGGCTCAAGGTGGCTGAAAGACACAGAAGGAAAGTTCAGCCCTAGTAAAACCAGCAGCAGCAAAGCCTCCCTAAAGGGTAGGAACTTTTATTCAATGAGCTGATACAGTTGGAAAAAATGGACAGGTTTTCTGGCCCATGATAAACCTGAAGGCATGACAGTATGTCTAAAAACCTACCCATTTTTTTCCCAGCTGTGTCAGTCAGTCAAAAGATGTTCCCACTCCTGCAAAGCCTTGCTTCTCTTATAACATAATGCTACTTGCTTACAGACCAAGGCAGCAAGATGCATCTCCATGAATACGAAATGTTCTATATTAAGTGAAAACAAAGGGAGGTCTGGATGAAAAGCACAGCTATGTTACTGTATTAAACACTCCAGCATTCTGAAGAGGATCCCCCAAAAGAAACAAAGTGTCCCAGATTCTTCCTTTTGGGGCTGGGGTGCCAGAGCAGAAGAGAGAAGTCCTGTTTTGGAAGATCTGTTTGAAAGATTCCCAGACAGGTCAGATGCTCCTTTCTTTTGCTAGCCAGGGACACATTGAATTCCCATCATCACCTGAATCATGCACAGAACCGGTATAAAAACACGCATGCCCTTGGGCAACACAGAACAGGATTGGAGAGGAGAGAGAGAGGTCACTGTACATTTTATAAGGAGAGAGTCCAGCTCTTAAGCTACAAAAGTACTTCAAATTGTCACATTGAAAAACCAGTCCGAGGTCAGTTTGCACTGTAAAGTCGCATTGTTTCTGCAGCACAGAAGAATATTTTTAGCTTGACTTCTCTCCTAATCTATGAAGAAAGACCCTTGTTAATTTGAGATCTCTTTCTTCATACTACTGTATCACATTGAATATCAACACGGTATTCGGATAATACCAAACCATTTCTACTGAAAAGTCTGAGACACATCGATGAAGGTAGACTTCAAAACTTCTGCAAAACCTGTGCTCAAAATTCCAATTTAAGCCTGAAACTGAATGAATCTGAGAAACAATATTCCTTCATGCACTCATCCTTATTAATTCCCAGTCAATTTCTCCAATTCTTTAAAAAACCCAGAACCTATTTCATCCTGCTACAGCACCAGCCCTCATTCTTCACCTCGTAGTTAACAGTAAATGAAGCAGGTAACACCACCACAGAGGTACCGAGTAGGAAAATAACATATCTAATGCCTGCCAGAAATAGCTACATTAGAACAGAACCAAGTACAACCAACAAATGTCTGTACCACAATTTCAGATCCAACTTACAGGTACTACAGCTTCCAAAGAAAATTCTTAATTGCCATGTACAGACGAAGAAAGTTCCCTGAAAACAAGAATGAATCATGGACCTTACTCTTGTATAGATTATTGGCCTGGATACAACCATTTGCAGACCGCATAGAAGAGGTTAAACATCTAGACAGTACCTAAACGTGCACCTTAATTGGGCATCTCCACTGCATGAAATTAACTCCAAGGAGGACCCATAAACCCCTCAAATTTTAAAAATAACAAAACATACCACAAAGCAGTGAGGTGTGTCAAAGAGTTTATAGCGGGGCGTGACTATATTCTCAGCAATTCTCTCTCAAACATGCTGGAAACTGCCTGGAAGTTCTTCAACACACAAAAAACCTTAACTTATCTCTGCTGAGCCCTCTGCTTGTAACAAGTCCACAAAAATAACAACCTTCTAACTACTGTAACCTTCAGTGATTCTTCAGTAAAGCCTTTGACACAGTCTCCCACAGCATCCTCACAGCTAAACTGAGGAAGTGTGGACTGGACGAACGGGTGGTGAGGTGGACTACGAACTGGCTGAAGGAAAGAAGCCAGAGAGTCGTGGTCAATGGGGCAGAGTCCAGTTGGAGGCCTGTAACTAGTGGAGTGCTGGGTCTCTTTAGTCTGCAGAAGAGGAGACTGAGGGGAGACCTCATTAATGTTTATAAATATATAAAAAGGGTGAGTCTCACAAGGATGAGCCAGGCTCTTCTCGGTGACAAAGAATGATAAGACAAGGGGTAATGGACACAAACTGGAACACAGGAGGTTCCACTTAAATTTGAGAAGAAACTTCTTCTCAGTGAGGGTAACAGAGCACTGGACCAGGCTGCCCAGAGAGGTTGTGGAGTCTCCTTCTCTGGAGACATTCAAAACCCGCCTGGACGCCTTCCTGTGTAACCTCATCTAGGTGTTCCTGCTCCGGCAGGTGGATTGGACTAGATGATCTTTTGAGGTCCCTTCCAATCCCTAATGTTCTGTGATTCTGTGATTCAGCTTAGATGGCAAAGGTTTGTGCTTTTGAGGGACTCTAGTTACATACTTCTTCAGCCATCCCTTTTCTGCTCATTAGCCAGCCAGAGATCAGAAGGGCTTTTTCTCCCACGCTTTCCAATCCTAGGATGCAGAAGCTCCAAGAGGAAGCACATGCCCACTGCCATCAGATGTTGCACCAATACAGCTGGGTAAGGAAGACAAATTCTACATAATACTACTGTTTAAATATTTCATGACTCAACACGCTCAAAATGTTGAAAGTAAAGGATCTTCAGAAGTAATACATCGAGAGGATGAGCATCATGCCAGATAATCCATTTTGTTAATTTAGCATTTGTATAATAAGAAAAGCACAGATCTCATAAATGAAGTATCATGTAACCCAATTGTATTAAACTGGTTTAAATGCTATTCTACACCCAGTCGATATCAGGAAAGAGTTGTGTGCAGAATGATTCCAGAATAAGAAGCTATGCTGCAAGCACAGCTCTCCAAAACTAACTGTGCCCTAATGGAGAATGCAGATCTGATCTTTTGGCAAGCTCCTCTCAGTTCTTTGCAACTGACTTAGTTTCACTCGTGATCCTTTAGAATGACCAAGTAAACATTCATATAAATAGAAGGAAGTCTCAGTTCTTTCTTGAAGCTTCCATTTGCTAAAAGATCTCTCTGACAGACCATCAGGTACATACAGATGATTCTTAGGACTATTCAGACAGAAGAGGAGTTGCATTGCCAGGTTAGATGCTTAACTCCACGTCCTACAGCACATCTCTGTACTTCTACCCTACTGCATATTCATTCAATCTCCCCTAATCCAAACACCTTCAATGCAGGACTTCAGACGAGACTCTAAAATTCAGTGCTTAAGGCTTTTGGATTTAACTCTTGAGACTTTTACCATGATGCAATTCAAAACTGAAGAGAACACTCTCAGGAATTTCATTTGCCCTAATTTTTTCCCCTGATAACGTAAGGTATTAAAACGCCTCACTGGATTTACTGACCTCTCATACTATTACAAATCACTTAACCAACACACAGAAGGAAGTCTGATACAGAAATGCAAACCAGGGATTAGTGGGGAAAAGGATAAAACTGAAGTGGTGGAACCTATCACAAAAATAGTGACTTGTAATACCTGGCTTGGCATGTACCTATTAGGTACATGGCCTGCTACCAATTAGCTCTAATCAGTTTATCCAGAGTTTCTACCACCACAGAGCATTTGGTCCAAAAAAGTCTAACCTGGACCTGTGCTCAGCTGGGAACGCAACACTTTCATGCATAAGCACGACCTTCTTAGCAGAAGGAAACCTGAGCTGTTAAGATGTGATGAGAATATGCTGTGACTACATCAGACATTTCTCAAGCAGCAAAAAGAAAACATTAACTACCCAGGCTTCAATTGCTTAAGACTCAATATTTAACTTAATCTGCACCCAAGAGGCTAATTAAATGATTAACTGTTACCCTGTCCCAAGTCAAATATTCATCATTCCTTGATATGTGGGAAGACAGCCTAATTGTGTGGCAATGCATTTGTTTCAATGCTAGTAATTTGATCATGGGGGTTATAATATTGTCTGCGTGTACTGCATGTGTCTCCTTGTGAAAGCTAGATTACAGGAAGTCCTAAGAAGCAACTCCAAGAAAAAAAACAACCTCCCTCAACAGCACACCTATAGGAGTATAAACATAACACTACCTATGAGAGAACCAGTTAAGAAAGTGACTGTCAGCCCTCATCACATTATATGACAGCATTACCAAAGTGTCACTGGAACACTTTATCATTTGTAGGTGACTTTTGTGTATATCCATTTATACTGAGACATGATTTAGATATATTGCAGTCTGCTATAAATACACACATCATCATTATAAAAAAAAAAAAGCCACAACACAAACACCCACCTGTAGGCAACCCCAAAAAACCTAGACCAACAGATATTACAGTGCACTGCTTCAGTACCTTCCTCCTATCTATGTCAAAAGTTATCGGGTCCCCCAGCTTAGACTGAAAGCCACAACACCACTGAACAAACTGAACTCCTTGAATGTTTACTTTCAGCCCACATGTCTTTATTATTCAGTTCATACAGACTCACCTTAGTCCATGGATGTGCCTTAATCTGAGGGAATTTGAATTCAGTATAGTTTGGATTCATTTCTCTAATTTGCTCCCTTGTAGGCGTTCCCAGAACCTAGAAAGGAGAGAGAAAAAAGGCGAATTGTTTAGATAAGCTTCTTATTCATATGGAAATGAAGAGCGCAGTATAACCTATCACATATTGAGACAACTGAAGTCGATCTGTGTAACTAGTAAGTTAATACAGAGTTCAGAACAAAACAACAAAACTTTTGCAGAACTGTTTAAACTGGAAGGGACCTCCCTCTCCTGGGAGCCTCTGATCCAACCCTCCTGCTCAAGCAGGGTCAGCTAGAACAGAATGCCCAAGACCACATCCAGCTAGGTTTGTGGCATCTCCACAAAAGGAGAATTCACAACCTCTCTGGGCAACCTGCCCCAGTCTTTGACCACCCTCACAGGAAAAAAAAAAATAAAACCCCAAGAATTCTTGCATTCAAATGAAATTTTCATGTGTTTTACTTTATGCCACTGCCTCTTGTCCAGTCAGTAGGCAGTACTAAGAAGAGCACGGCTGTTTCTTCTTCATTCCCTCCCACCAGGTATTTATACACACAAGACACCTGCCTCTCCCTCAGCTGTATCTGCTTCAGGCTGAACAGTCCCCGCTCTTGCAACCTCTCCTCATATAACAGATGCTCCAGTCTCTTAATCAGCTTTGAGGCCCTCGCTCCAACTTCAGTAGCCTCTTGCTGGCAATTCAGTCCATGCTCCGAGTCCAGTATCAAAAATTTAATCATCTTCTACAGTTTTTCACAATATTGAAGCATCTTTCTCAAACTTAGTGATATTTCATTGGAGAAGAGAGTTTGTTCTAATTAGACTGTTACAAACACCACTGCTGAACACATTCAGGGATTGCTGCTCGCTGCCTATGGCTGATTAAGGCTCTGCATTTTGCAAGTCATGACCAGCAGCCCTCTGACGAGCTTAAAAGATCAGTTACTGCTGAGGGGAAACAGACAGGTTTGTCCATCCATCTGTGTTTGTGTGTGTAGATGTCCCTCACACAACAACTGTGTGGGTTTTGGTGGTGGCTCCCCACCATAATATTACCACATGGAAGATAAACTTAGTTTAAACCTAACCCGGAAGCGTCTAAAATGCATACCACCTCTGGTTTACTTTTTACGAATTTATATTTCTCATTCCCAGAATCTGCACAATGTTATTTATACACGCAAATTAGCAGTTGTATGAGAAATAAAACACAATTGCTCATCTCTCTGTAGGGGTGGACAGATTTTGAAAGGACTTTCCAAAACCCTTCAGGGAATAAGCCGGACAATTCAGCATTAGTGCTTTCTGTTCAGCTAACACTAAGCATAAGAGAACCATTGCCTTCTACCTATATATAACAACTGCAAAGCACATTCAAGGAATCCTGTCGCCTTCTGCTTGCACCCAGTTGCTGGGCATCCTTTGGCTCTGCAGAGAGAAGTGGAGCGGGCAGAGGGCAGGAGTTGCTCCTCTGTGCTGAGCTCAGGTCCATCTTCCTATAGGAACCCTGTAGCCACGCTACTCTCTCCCCGTGACAAATCTCTCACCATAAAGATTTGGATAATGTCACCACCTCCTCTCATGAGACCGCACTGTCACCATCAGGAAACCAATGATCTACAACATAACCTTAGCACTCTGCCTTACTGCTTGATAAAGAAATATTTGGTTACATATTCTGGTATCTGCAAGCATTTCCATTCTGTTAGAAGAGTGGAAATTACACAAGAGTCAGGTAAAGGGGTAAAAGAGCAAGGTAATTGCTGTTTAGTTATTTTTGCAACAGAGAAACAGAGATTTCTGCATCAGGTATTATGAAAGCAACTTGGTATCTCTTTATTATTTAAAATACGAGCTGTGTGACACAAACTAGAATACCTACCCACAAAGCAATCTTTTAAATAAACAGCAGCGGCAGAGGAAATAAATCCTGCAACTTGTTCAGTCAGTTGCTTCTTAGATACCAGATTTAACTGACAAGTTGTACAAAACAAACGATCACGTAACTCCCACCTTCTCATTGCTAACCAGGATTTAAGTGCCACCTACTCTAAAGCCAAGGGTTACCTTCAGAGCTGACAGAAGATCTTTCTGTGTGTGTCTGAGAACACCAGTTTTGCTCAGGTGGCAGGAAAGAGGGTGTTTGCAGGATGCCATGCACTTTGCTCAACTTTCAAAGCAAAAAAAGGCTGACATGAAAATGTGCCCTTTCCCTGCTGGTTTTCTGTCTGGTTTCCCCAGAGCACCAGCCACCCAGCTGCCAGCCTGCCGCACTCAAAGCTTTGATGACTGCCACTCTTTAAGCTTCTCAGTTCTAAAAGATATGAGGATTTCACATCTACAGATATTTTCATCTCCATTCAGGATAAAAGCCATTTTCAAAACCCTGGAAGTTTCTTGAATGAGTTAAATTAACTTCCTGAAAAAGGACAGGTAACTTGTATTACTACCTCACCATTTCTAACAGCTATGTTTTCAGGCCTCCACAGTATAAACAGGACTTGTTTAAAAGCACATTTACCTTCTTTCCCCTTCTCCCACGCAAAAAATTTCTTTAATAGCCTAAGAGACAAGGACTAGATTTTTCTTTTTATAGCCAAAATTCAGGAAACTGGCTCAGTTCCCAAGGCTGCTTAGAACAGAAGCCTACACAATGCAAGTATCTTTATTTAAAGAGTGGTTAAAGCATCAGAGAGAATTCAGATTAGACAGGCAAGGGCAACTTCATGGAAGGACCCATGGACAATGTCTATCCACACATTTCACTAACAACACAACTGTAACTTCAAGTTATGGGAGGGAGCAACTCCTAGATATGAGTCTTTGGCACACAAAATAACTGTGCAAAAGGAAACATGACTTTCAGTAGCCATTCAGTGTATTTACTTTGTTCTCTCTGGACTGTAAAGCCGCATAGTGCTTTCAATTTGTACCGAAGGCAGATTAAGGCAAAAGGGGAAAAAAAAGGAAAGTAGATTGGAATAAGAACAGAAGTTTTAAAGACTATGTCAAATTCAAACCACAATCCAGAAGAAAACTGTGGAATGAATAAAGTGGTAAACTATAAAATTGTACCGGTACTTGACATGTCTGAAAGAGATCCTCTAGTGGATCTCCTGGCCCCTCAGGACCACTACACTGTTTGCTACATTATTTTGAAACTGTACCTCACTGGTTCACACTGAGTTTTCAGTATATCAGGAATACATTCAAGTAGCTTTGGTGAGTAACAGCAATCATTTAAGTTATTGCAAAAACCAGGCAAGCCTCTTCTTTTAAAGAAGTCACATATGTGACTGCTCTTTCATTTGAAATGCAAAGGAGAAGCATAAATTACTGTGCTCATTTTTGGCAGAATTACTTCATGAAACAGCTGCTCTTGCTATACAAACTCTGAAAATACTATGGAGCAGATGCTCCTTGGAAAGAGGTTTCGCAGAATGGCTGTGGTTGGAGGGAACCTCTGGAGGTCACCTGGTCCAACCCCCTGCACAAGCAGGGCCAGCAAGAGCTGGCTGCCCCAGAACATGTCCAGACAGATCCAGCTTCTGAATATTTCCAAGGACGGAAACTCTGCAACCTCTGTATAGCATGTTCTAGTGCCTGACCACCCACACAATAAAAATAGTGGTCTTATGTTCAGACTGAATTTCACAGGTTTCGATTTGTGCCCATCGCCTCTTGTCCTGTCATGGGATGCCACAGAAAAGAGCCTGGCTCCCTCTTCTTTGCACCTTCCCTTCAGATACTTCCATACGCTGATGAGATCCCTCCTCATCTTGCAAAGGGTCTAATACTGAATGATTCAGATTTATGCAGATTAGTACACACGATTCTACTTCTTGGGGATGGTTTTATGAAAGGTGATATTGTTAAGGAAAACACAGTTGTTGTTTTTTTTGGGGGGGGACTTTGAAAAAAGGAAGAAACAAAGCAGAGTATATACTAGAATAATAAAAATGTAGCTGTCTGATGGAATCACCTGTATCTGAAATGAAGATTAAACTTTTGAGTTAATTAAGGAGGTCTATGTGAAACTACAAGGGCTCTTCCTGCAAGTGAAGACTATGGGTTAACCAGTCTCACTCTTCATTCCCAATTGTCATCATCAACTCTTAAATAAAAATAAATAAAAAGAAACTTTATCTACTAAGATTAACTAAAGAATACACTTGCTGGGAAATCAAATACTGCTCTGATTCTCTTAGGACAACAATTGAACACAATAGGTTACAGAAGTATTTTCTGAAAAGTTTTTCCTTTACATTTATCTGTAACAGATTAATGTATAGAAATAAATAGAAAGCTCCCCAAATAACTTTTATTCCAGGCTTCAAGAAGGGAAGGTAATGGTACATATTTCAAGCAACTGAACAGAAGCTACAGGCTCCCAGTAATGTCATCCTTACCAAATAAGAAGGGGAGACTTAGGAACCTGGAATAAGCCATGAATTTGATTGCAAATAGCACAAAGATCTTCAGCCTATATTCTTGCAGTTGAATTTTCATAGGAGAAAAATATGGATGATATTCAGCTTCTAAAGACGCCTCAGCCACACCCCAGTCCTGCTGTGGGACAGCTGCTGTCCACACCTGGCTTCACTGCACAAAACTGCGCCGAGCCATTGATGACCAAGCTCACACCATCGCAGCGCCAGAGGAAGAGGAAACTGCAAGTGGCTCAGCAAACCCCAGGGCCCTCTCCGACAGCCACTGTTACTGCTAAATCTTTTCCAAAATGTACCAATCAGTTAAAAGTACAGGGACACTGAGGATTCAGAAGCTCCAGCTGGTGATGACTGAAGTGAACTGGAGGGGAGAAGGTGGTTATTTAAATCAGAAACCTCTAGAAAGCCACGGGTACGGCAGAATAGCGCCTTCCTTGGGAAAACTGTGCAAGTTTATGAGGAAACATGCTCCAGAAAGTCTGGTGTGTATGGCTTACCAGATGGCATCATTAATACTTCTGCAAACATGTCTGCACCTCTTCAGAAAGTTGTGAGAGGTGTGCCAAAAATTTATTTTAAAAAATCATGGTGCTGGCATCTCAAGCAG